TCCCCCGCCGCCCGCGCCAGCAAGAAGCTCGCCCTGCCGGAGCCCAGGTGAGGCGGCCGGACGCGCGGGGCTGCGGGGAGAGCGGGGGGGGGGGGCTTCGGAGACCCCCTCCCCCCAACAGCCTCCGTCTTTGGGGCCAGCAGGAAGGGGGGGTGGGGGCCTGGCAGCCCCTCCCCTAGTCAGAGCATCCTTCCCCCCATCCAGGCCCCCTTCATTCCCCCCCCCACGAGGAGCCAAAAGCCCCCCCAGGCTCTGCCAGGCTTGTTCAACTGCAGCCCCCCCCCCCCGAACTTCCTCCTTCACCCTGGGAGCGCCTCGTCCCCACGCATTGCCCAAAGGGGGCTGGAGTCAAGGGGGCTCCTGTGGGAGGGGATGTGCCAGGTCTCCAGGTGGCCCTGCACCCCCTCCCCAAAATTGACCTGAGCAGCCCCTGACCAGCTGTTGCTTTCAAACTCCCGCTGTCCCCAGATGGCCCCTGCCAAGTGAGGGGGGGGGAGCCAACATCTTGCCCCAAGGCTTGTTGGCTGGGTTGATTGTCACACTAAGCCATAATTTATGGCTTCAATCCCAGCCTGTGAAGCTGAAACCCAACAAGAGGTCCTTGGGCGGCACATAAATGTGACCTTTGGGGCTCTCTTCTGCCACTGACCCCCCCCCCCAGTTCTAGAGTTGGGGTTGTCCTCAGGGGAAGGGTCCTGTCTCTGGATTCCTGGCTAAGAGACCCACCCTGCATTCTCAGCCAGATCCTTGGTGGCTGTTGGCCTGGGCCTGGGGTCCGGCAACCAGGCTCCCTGGCGGAGCCCCAGCTGGGCGTCTTCGTTGGCTGCAGTGGATCCGTTTCCTCTCCCAAAGGAATCCAAATGGCCGAACCGTGGGATGAGCCTTGGAGGCCCCTTCCTCAAGCCAGTCTCTGGGAGGGAAGAGGGCCCTGTGGCCCCCTGAGAATCCCAGCAGAGGCAAAGACGGGGGGGATTCTGGGAGTTGAAGTCCGCAGAGCTTAAAGCTACAGAGATTGAGAGACGCAGCTGAAAGTCTCATCAAGAAATGAAAGGAGGAGGGCTGGGGGGGGGGGTTCAAAACTCCACTCGGACAAAACGTCCCATCTGTATTATTTATATTTTCTGCAGCAGGAGTAACTGGGCTGCCTATTTTTCTTGCCAATCAGCAGAACAGGAGTTCTTCTGGGGCTTTTAAAAATAATGTCCATTAAAGGAGCATAAGGCAGACTAGCTGACATTTGGCCAGCGAGACCAATGGTGGGAGCAGTGGGCATTCCTTGATGGTTCAGCTTGTCCGTGAGGCCACAGTAGTGGGGTGCTGGGAAGGAGCCCCCGTCTGCTTAAGAATTGGGGGTCAGGAAGGGTTTGGCTGAAATGTCTGCTCTGAATCTCCTCCTTTACCCTCTCTGAGAGGCAGTGAGGTGGGGGGGGAGGGGGGGCTGGATGGCCTGGTGCAGCCCAGGGAAGAGTGGAGTCAGGCGCCCACTTACGGCGGCTCCCCTGGGCACGTCTGGCGGGGGGGGCACGAGGCACTTCTGCTCGGCTCTTGCAGGCTTAATGAGTTAAATGCATTAATTGTCTTTGTTTCCTGATGCAAAGTGTTGATGAGGGGAGGCCGAGGGGAAAGCCTTCATTTAGTGTTGCAAGCTGAGCAGGCGCTGGGCGTTTATCCCTGGTGATGAATGAAAGCAAACCCTCCTCCTCTCCGTGCGTAGCTGGCGGTGTTGGTGTTGGAGCAGCCGAGCTCACCCGGAATCTCATTCAAAGGAGGAAAACGCTTCTTCCCCTCTTTCCAAGGATCAACGTTTGCTCCGCGCACTTTTAGCCGCTGCTCCTCTCCCGCCACTCTGGATGAGGACCGGAGGGCGTGACAGGCCCTTCCCCGGGGAAAGCCTCTCCGGGGGGCTGGGGCTGGGGTGAGGAAAGGCCCCACTGCCTCAGGTGTCCTCTGGACTAGCTGAGACGTGGCTCTGCGCCATGGCAGCCTCGGCCCATTGACCCGGCTGAGCTCTGCTTCCTGGAATGCCCCTTGCTGTCGCCGTCTGTTCCATGGGTGTCTTCGTTGCCCTGGCTGGCACCCATGGCGGCCTGGAGAGAGAACACGAACCGACTCTGCTCTGGAAAAGGCCACCGGAAGGACCACGGCATCGTGTGGTTCATTTGCCTTCAGCCTGGCTAGCGATGGCTTTTAGGGGCCTCTTTTCCCCTAACCCCAACCCTGCAGGCAGAGGCAGGGGGCCTCTCTGCTGCCCACACACCTGGCAGGGAGAGGCTGGGGGGTGGGGGTGCGCGCGCGCAGGGGAATGTTGTGGAGGAGCTGCAGGGTGGGCCGGGGTCCCGGAGAGGCTTTACCCACCCTAAGGGTTTGGACGGTGGTTGCCGTGGTGCTTTGGCTGGGCATCGTTTTCCTCTTGACCGGATGAGGACAGGAGAGGCTCCTCGGCAGACGCTCCTGCAGCCCCACAAAGGGGCTCCCTACAGGTTGACTCCCGAGGGAGGGCTTAATGGGGGGCCCCGGGTGGGGCCGTGGGGGGTCTTGCAGCCCTGATAGCCTGGCAGTGTCCCCTGAGTCCGCCTTTACTCCTTCCGGGAGCAACGCTTGGCTTCTCTCTGCCTTTCAGCATCCGCAGCGTCATGCAGAAGTATTTGGAGGAGAGGGGAGAGCTGGCCTTTGAAAAGGTCTTCAATCAGAAGATCGGTAAGTCTTGGGGTGAGTCGGGGTCCGGGATCATGCGGGAAGACTCGGGGGAGAAGCCGTGGGGCTTGCTGGGATCATCGGGGAGCAGAGGCAAAGCCGGACCTCCAAGCGTCCCAGAGGAGCGCAGGGGTCTGAGCTGGAGAGGAGGGGGCAGCTGAGCCTTGGCCTTGCTGGCCCCCTATCCTGCCCGCAACACGCACAGAGCCCCTGCAGCTGAGCTGCCCTGCAGGCCTTCCGGCTCAGGCTCTCTGCTCCGTCCAGCTGCGGCAGCTCCCTCGTCAGCCTGCCCAGCGGGATGGCGGTGCCCACAAGGGCAACTCTGCTGCGGAGCCGGGGCCGCCCCTTCGGGATTCTGCTGGCAGCGGCTGGACCTTCCTGGAGGGGCCATCCTGCTGTGGGACCGTGGGGGTCGGTGTTGCAGGGCCTGCCCGCGTGTGAGGGTGACGGGCAGTGCTTGCTGAAGGGTGGCTTTCTGTGGACGGGGTTTGCCTCCAGCTGCTCCGTCGGTGGAAATCCCGGGAAGGCTTTGCCCTTCGAAGTGTAAACAACGCCAGACAAATGCCGGAGTGTCATGCCGACAAAGCCAAATCTCTAAGCAGGCTTTGGGGATAATCCAGCCAATTGCTCCAGGCGCTTCTCTGCATTTACTAATCCTCAAAAGGGGAGATTTCCCCCATTTCTCTCCTCTTCCAATACGATGGGATTGGGATGGAAGAGATCCTGGCCTGGCGGTGGGATTGGAGGCTGACGGCAGGAAGGGAAAGGCCAAACCTTTATTAGCGTCTCAGGTGCTCGGACTTGAAAGTGGCCCTGTCACTTTCGTGGTTTTCTGAATGCCGACATGCTCTAAAGATGCTTGTTCCGGCCAGGGGAGTCCCCCATGTGGGAATGATTGAAAAGCTGGCTTGGACTTTAAGAGGCTTATCCAGGTTTTGGGCGATGGAGGAAGACCGACGGTCAGAGGGTGAAAAGTGGCTTAAGTCCCCCCCCCCCATCTTTGCACTAAGAGCCCAGGGGTTCCTCAAAGGATGTTCTGAGCACATGAAACCTGCTAAAAGGAGCTGCTGCTGCTTGCTTGGCCAGGGAAATCGTCCTTCAGCTTGAAAAGGCTCAAGAAGAAGTTGCTGAACGCATTGTGGTTTTGTTACCTTGTGGGTTGTATTGCGTGGCACCCCTTGTGGGTCCCGCCTAGGCAGTGTGGAAGGCCATGAGGAAGAGGAGGAGGAAGGGAGGCCGGACACACAATATCCGGATAACAGGGACTCCTCTTATCCCAGGAAGCCTCTCGGCCTCTGGGGGTCTCATGCAGGTAAGGGGGCGATGGGAGAAGCACCTTTAGGCCTGTAAGATTCTGACGCGGCAACCTTATAAAAGTGTAGTATTAGCACAGATGTGATGCTGGTTTCGTAGTCTGGTCTACCTTGAAGGGCTGCTAGGCAGGCGGGGGCCGGTCAGCAACCCCACTTAGGAGGCTGGGTGTGGCCGTCACAGACCCGTAGCCGACTGGGAGCCTCTGCTGGTTTCATGGTGCCAGGTGTCAAAGGTCGTTGTGTGCCTGCTTGGCTGTTGGGATAACAAGGCAGAAGACACGGCTTCTTTCTGAAAAGGACAATGGAGAGGAAATCTGGCTGCTAAATGAAGGAAGCAGATGTGAAAACGAAATGTGTGTAAAAATAGTCCTGGCATTTTGGTAAAGGACGCTCCCTTTGCAGCCCGAGACTCATCTCTTGATTGGTCAGCTCCCCTCCTGAAAGTCCACCTGCCCGGTCCCCTTGTTCACAAAGGTTCCACCACAAAACCGCGGAGGACAAAATTGCGCTCGATGAAAGCGCGCATTTGACGTCATCACAGCGCGACGGAAACATCACGCTGTGATCGAAAAATGTAAAAATAAAGC